TGAGGAATAAGCTGAGGTTTGTAACTTCTCTGAGTGCATTCTAAGGCCTGCTGGCTACCTCGTCGAAGGGACCAGCGCGTGGACTCAAGGAAAGGAAGTGAGGAATAAGCTGAGGTTTCTAACTTCTCTGAGTGCATTCTAAGGCCTGCTGGCTACCTCGTCGAAGGGACCAGCGCGTGGACTCAAGGAAAGGAAGTGAGGAAAAAATCGGAGAATCTTGGTTTCCCGGCTGAGTTGAGCTGGACCCTGGTTTGTCTTATCTTACTGCTCTTAATCTTACAAATTATATTAGTTTTTTATACCTTTAGGTTAATTTATGAAGCCGCATATTCAGCAGCTTCACCCGAGAGCTACCTGTGTTAAGTTTTTGTTTTGAATGCATATTTATACAAATTTTAATTTTTTGTTGCTAAATTAACTGCTCTGATTAATTTTTGTTGATTCATTGTTAGCGTAGCGTTCAACAAGCCTATTTCTGGCTTTCTTACTATCCTTTCTTGGGCTAAATTAGTAATCTGACGTCTGCTCTTTGATTATTTGATGTACACTCAAGATAAGTAAATAAATAAAAATGCGCCCTCCCCTAGCTCACCCTCTTTGCCCTTCTGCATTTTTAGCGCATAAGTGGAGGCGGGGCGGGGGATGGAGGCGGTGACTGTAAGACGTGGGGGCGAAGGAACGTGGGGTGTTTGGGGAGACGTGGGCAGATCCTGAACAGCAGGATGACGGGCGTGTTCGTGCGAGTTCACGTTTTGCATACAGCTGCAAAATAGAGTGAACATCTACACATGTGATCGTTTTTTATGGATTTCATGTAAAGAAAACAATCAATTATATTGAAATTAAAAATGAACTAAAATATGTTATAATGCATTAAAAACCCATTATGTGGTCTCTATTTGTCGCAATAATTGATTATTTACACATTTTACAGAGGCGAAGGTGCTCTTCGCCGAGAACACGACCAAAAAGCAGCTCTATCAAGTGACATTAGAAAAAGTAGAAATAAGCCTCGAACTTGCAAAAACTCGAGGCTTAGCAAAAACTCGAATTAGCTAAAATCTGCGACCTAGCAAGTTTGAGTCTCATGCACAAACCATTCAGCCACGGATGCTTAGAATCCCTAGAAAATAGCCACCAATAACGCAGCTACATAAGCTAATAAATTGCCAATTCGATGCAGCAAAAGTAGCATCACACACAAAAAAAAATATAATTTTGCATGTATTAAATCGCAAACCATAAAGCCACATTATGTATAAATCATGAATTTCAAAAAAACTGAGAGATATACTGAGTTAAAAATTTCTGAAATCGAGATTGTTTTTTTGTTGTTGTTTGAAGCTTTCTTCGGTTCACTTGATGAACCAAAATGCATCAACTGTGTAAACTTATAACTATTCGAATGTCAAAGCACAAATTATCAAAACGCTGTAAAGGTGCAACAAAATATCAATGGTGCAACAAAATATCTTATTGCCAAATTCGATGCAGCAAATACTGTTGCTTTAAATCGCAACAATATTTGCGACTTACAATGGAAAAAAAGAATGTTCGTACTAGCTTCGCTAGTGTAAATACCGAAAATTGAAAAAAAAAGAATTATTCGAGATCTGCAGGGATTGTACAGCAACTTGGCTGTAATACTATCAAATCTTTTCTGCTTATTTCGAAATTTCTGCTTATTTTGTTTCATGCAAAAAAATCATTTAGTGAATAGGAACGACTAACGTTTCTGATTGGTTTAAAATTTTCAGCAACAATATCTTTACATTTCTATTTCAAGAATTCAGAGAATTCTTTGTTATCTAAATGGAAGTGCGATGCTCTAGTAGTGTTTGTTTTGGTAAATAGTTGACGGCTATTGATTAATTGACCAAAAAAATAGAAAATCTGTTATTCGATCTGTTTATTTTTCTTTTGCTTTTCAATTAATTGCGGTTAATCGTTGAGCATTCTTTATTGGTACTAAATGCATCGCTAGTGGTTCTCCTTGTACCGAATATTCTTGGGAAATATACGCTTTTTATCAATAAAAAGACTGGCTTAGAGTTGGAGTTCGAAGGGCGTTGAATACTGCTGAACACAATTTTTCAATAATAGTGAGATCGCAATTTAGACTACTAAAGGTGTTTCTAGTAACTACAACACACGCGAAGCTGGACTTCTTTGCAAACACAAGGGAGAAATTGGAAAAAACAACACTAAAAAAGTATAAAAAACGAGAAAAATGACAGTGAAAGCAACAAGTTTTGACACAAAGGTGTACTTAATCGCTGGTTATTGATCTTATGCATATACTGCAATAAAAAAGCACTTTCGAAAAGACTTAGGTTGGAAAAAAAAGAGTTCGTAATATCACACAAGCTTCGCTTGTGTAAAAAAGAGAAACTTTCTGAGCCGGAATTGAGCCACGTACCTGTAGATTAAGATGCTCACGTCCTCCAACCTGCGCCACCACTAACTGATAATCAAGGCCACTCACTAAGCGGATATCGAACAAATGCTATACAGCATCAGTATAGCAAAAACTTTCGTATTACGAAGTCCATTTTTTCCAGCCTAAGCTAGACTTAGGCTGGAAAAAACTGGAGCTCGTAATATGACACTAAATTCGACTTATGTTAAAATCTTTTTCTGTGACTCAATCTTATAAAAATGTTTCCGGGCTGAGTGGATTGCTTCAATGCCTGACTTTTGACCTAGGCAGAAGTGCCTGCTGTCGCCAAACAATTTCCGGCCTTTTTTATACAATGATTATTGTTGGGAGTTGAATCACATGTTTCCGTATTGCCGCACATACTTCTGTATAAAATAACATGTTGCTGTCCTTTTATAAGCATAATGATGTGTATGAACTGATTCTTCTTCTTATTTTAATTGACTTCACTGTTCATTAGCTAAAGAATACTTCTGCTATGCTATCAATAAAAACTACACATAATACAATTGAAATCAAAGAAAACTAGAATTTGAGCAGTCATATTTGGAAGCAAGATTCGCAAACCCTGGGAGTACCCTGACACCACCCAACTACAGGGTAAGGAATTTCAAAATTTTAAAACAAAATTTATTTCAAATTTTTTGACAACTTTTTGAAAAAATCCCAAAAAACGTCATTTCTCGAAAATTACAAGGATTTGAGCAGTCATAATTGGACGCAAGGTTCGCAACCCCTGCGAATACTCTGATAGCTCCCAACTACAGGGTTGAGCATTTCAAGTTTGAAGAAAAAAATCATATAAGTTTAGCTAAAGAATACTACTGCTATGCTATGAATAAAAAGTACAGATAATAGAATTGAAATGAAAGCAAATAAGACGAAACGTAAGACAAAAATTGAGTCTGGATTACTTCTACTATGTTCTGTTCGACTACAATAGTGAGAGGCTAATAAACAACAATCTACTCTACTTTTTGGCATACATAATGAGCATGGGATGCGCAGGAGAAACATTAAATCCTTGCAGTGTGTTTTTGGCCACAGTTGCCGATGTTTCGTCCATAAAGTCCACAAAAGCCATTCCAGGTCTGCCCGGAATCATTCTAGTCTCTTTGTATCCCTGAAACTGCGTGAACAGCATTGAGACCATTACCTCGTTTGCGTCAGGTGGTAAATTTTGCACATAAAGTAGACTGTTCGGCTCTTCCGAGCCTTCTGGTTTTCGCTTCAGCTTCGGAACTCGTTCACGCTTGGGCCTGGCAACGAAAGTTCCTTTTCGTTTCGCAATCAAATCCGAATCACTTTTTGTATATTGAATTCTCATTGGTTTGTCAAAGAACGGGAAGCCTTGCATGGATTTGAGCGCTTTAGTTGCACTAGCTTCACTCTCAAAAACCACAAAAGCCTGGCCGCGTAGTTTTAGTGTCTTCTTCGACATAATATCCAGAATTTTGCCAAACTGTGAAAATATTGCAAACAGTTGTTTTCTCAGTTCCGTTTGGGATACCTTTTCATTGAGATTGTTGATGTAGATAGTGTTATTTGGAGGCAATTCGGAGAAAGTCATTGCTGTCTGAAAAGAAAAGAACCGATTGGATGAAAGAAAAATTAATTAAAACACGTGTTAACTTTTGCATGCCTCCAAATATAATTCTGCAAAGGTTGCTCATGTTTATCTCAATACTCATAGATTTACACCCTAAAAATTCGGCTAATAGACTGGGTGATATTGAAAAGAAAACATCATCAAAAAGAGAAATTGCTGAATAAATAGTGTATAGCAACGCTTTTCCAGCATTACATGCGGTAGAAAAAGCTACTGCAAATACAGAAAATCGAATTTTCAGACCCACAACAAACTGGTATGTTGTGGAAACCAAATATTCATAATTTCATATAGGGATGCTGAGATCATTTGTTCACGTTCGACTAGAAAATGTTTTCAATTACTAAGTAAATCTGTTTCCCAAAACATTGCTTCAAATTAGAAATTTCAGAGTAGAAACCACAAACAGCCTTTAATTTTTGACTCTAGTGTAAGAGTATAGAGTAGATTGGAATATAGTATAGGACTCATTTTCAAGCTGCGCAAAACTACAACATTTAGTTATAAATGAGACCACACTACTCCGAAACTAGATATTAAATTAGGACAAAAAATGGTTCAATTAATGCTTAACAATTAGACAAGAATGCTCGTATCAGGGCGAAGCCCTGAATGTTCCGACTGCCTTTTAAGGTTTATGGAGCAGTAATAACATTAAAAAATTCAATGAAATAAAACAAAACGAAAATTTTTTTTTGTAAAATTTGAAATGTTTTATGAAAACCAGCCCCCCACACGCCATATAAAGTACAAAGGGATAAATTCCGCTGCTAGTAACAATCAATATCAATTATGGCAAATAAGCAGCTTATTTCAACCAATTTAGAACGATTTCTAGAAATGATTATATCTCCGCTTACACGTTAAAAGCGCGAAATATATAATTTAAGCTCAGAACAACAAAACCTTTCGAACGATATTTTAAAAATCCGTCAAAAATGGCTAGTTAAAAAGTCGAAATTTGTCTGAAGAAAAAAAAACCCACCCCGAGCACAAATATTCCGTTACTTTCGTATCGAAAGCCGGAACAAAAACGCAATTTTCAATTCAACTAGTAATGCTCCCAAAACTGTGCATCTAAAGAAAAGTCCTGGAAAAAATGTCCAGTGTCAAAATAGTGGGTTAAAGAGTTTTCAAGGGCTCCCACAAAGGTTGTATCATCGCCTACTTCTCGACATCTCTTCAAATATTCATCATTAACAACTCTCATCAACTTCTCAAACTGGACGCCATATTGCCTCAATAAATCTCGCCCACACACTGACAAAAACTCACGCAGAATTCCAGCTGCAAAATCACTGAAAGGCGGGGTATTAACAAATGTTGCAAGCCATTGCCAGGCTAGTTTATATCCATAGGGGTGTATTTGGATAGAACCACTCATTGGCCTACAAGTCAGAACAGCAGAGTACAATTGCACGGTATAAAGGACCCTGTTCAGATATGTTTTGGCATCCTCCCACTCTCCCAGCTGCTTCAAGTATCCCAAGTCTTCTTTGAAGCTGTCTTCGCTTTGCTTCGGTTTCCTGCTGAGAAATATGGGGCGAGTGAAGGGGCATTTGCGATGGAATACAGCTAGGAGGATATTGCGGAATGAGGGGTCAGCCGCTGCCAGTTCTACTAGAAGAGAAGCCATTGCTAGCTCTCGCTTGTCGAACTGGTTCAAACCACACACCACCGTCTCCGCTAAACAGTTTAGTTCAATTACAGCACTCATCTCCAATTATGAATAACTTAAGTTCTCAGTTGAATAAACACTATTTTCCTTTCAATTTCAATATTTCACATTTTCTATAACCGAATCAAGTATTATGATTTTTTTAAACCATTTTGAGATGATTCCTCCTATTTCTATCTCAAAATCACAAAGTCATGTATGAAATCAAAACGAATCTAATAAAAAAATATGAGCGCATGCAAACGGGTCAAATAAAATTCAATTCAAATTATTTTTCATAAATTTTGATTTTGTTTTACTAGCACGATTTTTGCACGAGCTATGTACGAGCTGACCCTGTTAGTTCAGAAAATCAACTCATAATAAACTCATGTCAAACTAATTTTCAATGAACCGCTTGTTTTATTCAACAACTAGAGCCCAAATAAAATCTGACCTAGGACTAATCTAGTAATATCCACTCCATTATTCACAGCTGCTGGATTGACTGCAAAATTATCTGCCACAGTAACTGTTTGTCCTCTAAACAGTGCAATGACATTGTCTCTGTGCAACTTCAAATTATCCATATTTGCACTGAGCGAATTCTTGATGACATTGCAACCACCTTTCACAGTCTTCAGGAACAACTTGCATTGTGGACTGCTACTTTTCTTCAGTGCTTCATGGAATGTGAATATTACATCCAGATCATCCGAGGAAACTTCTGGACCACTTTCAGAGACAGTGTCAATAATCTGGATATTCGCACTCGGCTGAACCTTAAAATTACAAAAACAAAATTTAGGAGGCAATTCAGCAAATAGCAAAGATCAGAACTTTGAACTGAAATAATGTGCTGCTTTTTTTCTTTTCTGAGACATCTTTAAAAATATAGCCTAAATTTTTGAATTAAGAACTACCGTTCATGATAAAATCTCAACTCTAAATCAAGCGAATTACCTGTTGCTTTCCTCGCTCTGAGTTTTCGATTATTTCATCAACTGCTTTTAGAGACTTGTTCAAATGCGCGCTGTGTGCCTTCAACTTTTCCAGCTCTTGAGATATTGAGTGAGGATTGCGACCAATGAGTTGGTGAGAATGCTGCACCAATATGCACATATTTTGCAAGGAGTGTTTCGCTTCTTGTAAAAGCGATGACAAACTATCGAATGTTCCTGCTTCCGCCTTCACTTTCGACAGCACTTCTTGATGGAATTTCTGATCGGCTTCTATGATTTCCAACATCTCTTTCAGCCTCGCTTTTCCCAAATTTATCTGAAGCGCTATCACTTCTCGCTCCTCTGCTTCTCTTTTAGCTTTAGCTTCTGCCTCTTTTCTTCTCTCCAACTCCAATTTAGCTATTTGGACACTTTTTTCTTCAGCTGCTTTGTCTAACCTTTCTTGCTGCCTCTGTTTTTCCAGCTCCAAAGCAGCACGTTCTATGTCTTCATTGTGTCTTCTTTCAACTTCAATCTGCAATCTCTTCTGGGACTCCGCCCCCAGTTGCTTTTTGTTGGCATTTATTTTTTCAGCATATAGAAAATTTTTACCATCTTGTATCTCTCTGTACTTAAACTGAAGAGCACGAGCTTGTTCTGCGTCAAAGTCCTCGAACTTCTTCTGTTCAATTTCCAATTGATATTTCAATTTATCCTAAACAAAATTATGTTTATACAGAATGACAATTTTGTACAGAGATGCGAAGTTAGCGAATAAAAAAAAATGAGACAGAAACAATTAAGTCAGGAAAAAATGAAAACAAGGAAAACAGTCAAAAGACACAGCTACCAGAAATAAACAAGCTTTAAACTACTGAGAAACCATTAAGCCGACAATGTTTCGTAGATGCCCATTAAGTTAAAATGAAACACAGAGGCAAAGCGGAGCTTCGCACCATCACGATACAACACAGACAAAATTAACTTGAGAATAACTAATTTTTCACGGCTTAATTTAAACTTAAATTAGCTATAGCAATTACTAACTACCTGACTAATTAGCTCGAGAATAAAAATTTCAAACCGGGTTTTCTCGACACTGTGAAAACTTTTTTCAATTTTTTAAATGTGGTTCGAATCGCGAATGAAAGTGCTTTAATAAGATATATCACTCAACCCTGTCCGATGATGTTTTGTAGTAGCTGATTAAGCGTGGAAAAAAGAAGAAAATACTAAAACACCCGAATACAAAATTCCTCTTCATTTTCAATGGTCGGCACAAAAAAAAACAATGCCAAAAAAAATCTACCACAACTTTCAATTTTGTGTCTCAATGTTACTTCGCTTACCAAAACCATGCTATGAAAAACTTGCAAATATTAAATTAGCAACGCAACAGCTTACCAATCAGATACAATGCCGATAATACTTGAGCAGACACGAGTGGAAAAAATTAAATTTCTATAAGCAAAACATTTGCAACTACAACGAAAATCTCTAAGAGAGCAAAAAAAAATTCGTGATAAGGCAACTAAGCCGGCAAAACATTGGTCCGACAACTCAAATTTTCCCTAATTTGGAATCCGTTACATTGTCAAAGTGAGTGGGAAACGTTTTTCTATCAATGCAACTCTTCAATCGCCTTGTATATCGATATCTTCAAGTAACGGACTTTTAAAACTTCTCAGGGAGCTGTCATTGAAGATGTTCATTGCGGCTGATGACGCGAATGTAATAGTAAAGGAATCTTTGTTGCCTGTAATATTGTCAGACAATTATTAGTTTGATCTTTTCTTTTCTAACACCCTGATTAGCTCGGCTCGTAAAACAATCTTTTTTGGTTTATCGGCTACGATGAGATTAAAAGTTGACGTGTTCCTTGTTTGATATCAATATTTCAAAAACTTCATTAGTGAATGATTGCTATATCCTTTTAGGGATGTCAATTTTTGCTATTCTAACAACATCTTTGGTTGGCGAACTAGTTTCAACGATTGTTCCGCTCTTAATGAAATAAGACTAAGAACGTCCTTCTTGGTCACTTTTTGTCCTCCGATAACTTATGAATCAAACTCTTTAGTGATTGAGTGTTCATCTCCGAGAAAGCTGACTAGTTTCACTATATTGCATAGGATTCAGTATCTTACAAAACTTTTGAAGGACCCCTTGAATTCAGTGGTCCCTATCTGCACTTTTTTGTCTTAATTATTTGTTTGAATGCTATTGCAGCTGAGGTGGCATACTTTGATTTTATTACCCTTCACGTAAATAACGGGACATGCAACCCACTGTAACCATAAGAAATTTTATATCTTCGTTGTATTTTGCAATTTCATCAACTTACGCCAGGTCAACTGACCATATTTCGTGTATTGAGACACGGTGTTTTGCGACGAACTGCTCGGTATTTTGAATATGCAGGCTGCGTATTCAAAACTGCATCACTTTGCTTTGAGAAATTTTTGATGCGGCTTTTATGTTCTTTATATTACCAAACAGGCAGGACCTTTACTTATAAATTTAGTTTTTAAAAATTTTTCTCCAGCTGGTGTAATCTTGCCATTTTATATTTTTTGTCTTCTCTGTCGTTGCAGTCGTTCTGAACTATTCGGAGTCTTCTTCTTCTTCTTCTTCTCGTTTGGCTGTTTGCACAGCTTTTTGTTCTCTTTCACTATATGCGATAGTCTTTCTGGCTCTGCGTATTTTAATGCTTTTTGAGCAAAAAGTTGTTGACGGTTTTTTGGTCAAAAGGATGGCAGTAGATGTTGAATAAAAAAATTTGGGACCTCTATTTTTTTTGCTTCTGATGAGCTTGCACCCGTCGACTGAACCGCGAATTTGTTCATGAACAACTGTCAAATTTCAGTGCCTGAACACGTGCCTAACATTGATGTCTCAAATTTCAGAGCCTGAACACATGCCTAACATTGATAACATCCAAGCCATAATGCCTTCCTGCCGTTGCTAGCTTAACAAAATCTTCAGTTTAAATTTCTTCGCATGAGTCATTAAACACCAGTAGATTGTTTTCAATTTTTCTCAAATGACCAAATTTATCAGACTTTACGAAACCTATTTTAATACTGTGAGCGTTAAAGTTTTACCAAATTATAGGTCGAATATCTATGTAAAAGATATGGATACACTAGCATCAAAACCAAAATTCCAAGATTTTTGTTCGGTGTTATTTTGATTACACACAAAATCGGTAACAAAAGTCGCATGAGCCTCAACATTTGCTATTTCAGACATCCAAGTTGTCAATTAGATTTTCTCTCCTTCTGTCTCTAACTCTCTGACTATCTCTCTATATCTGAATTTCGGGATAAATTAATTAGCAACGTAACAACTTACCATTCAGTAACAATGCCGATAATACTTAAGCAGACACGAGAGGAAAAAATTAAATTTCTATAAGCAAAACATTTGCAACTACAATAAAAACCTCTAAGAGCGCAAAAAAAATTCGTGATAAGGCAACTAAGCCGGCACAACATCGGTCCGACAACTCAATTTTTCCCATAAATTTTTTTTATACATACTGAAAAAAAACATGGTCCGGCGTGGACTAGAATCCCTGGCCTTAAGGTGCAAAGGCGTCCGAAAAATGTAAGGGTTAATGAGTAAAGCCAGTTGAATTTCTTACAGACTTCTATGCTTGCTTTAACTTAATTTTGGTTTGGTTTGCCGCTGTAACCACGCTGACTCTGGCGAAAAAGTAAACCAAAGCTCGTAGTTTGATCTTTTTTCCGGCTCATGTTAGAACTTTAGCTGGCAGAATTGTGATGTGCGACTCCTGAGGTGAGCCATGCAATGTTTGGGTTGAACATGTCAAATATAGGATCACTGGTTAGAGTGCAACATTGTCGGGTACTTTCCCTGGCATTCCTTTCATCTGGTCACTGATGGACACTCTGCTGCCTCATGACCTGTAAGTATACAGACGAAACAAAGCTGGAGCTTCTTCACTCCTCTCTGGCACATATGCATATTGAAACTTTTGGCATTTCTAGACGTGATGATACTTCTGGCATGCTTTGACGCTGCACTTCAAAATTGTGGATGACCACGTAATTCATCAGCAAGAAGGAGTTCCTTGACATCTAGCTAAGTTCTGGACACACTAGGCGCGATGCTCTTCAAAGATCTCAACCGATTATACAAAACAATTTAAAAAAACCTCGAAAGGAAATACAAACTGCCTCTGGATTATGAAACTTCCGTGCCTTCTGTGACTCTGGATCCATCTTTGATGATAGAAGATGGTCTCACACATTGCTATCAACATCCCAAGCAATGACTGACATTGATTCGCTGACTTCATTAAACTTCTGCACTCCACGTCTTATGAAGCCAGCCAATCGAATTCGAAGTTTTATAACATTTTCCTTCTTAACCATTCCACAATTGATGAAGTCTCCTCAGGATGAGACAATCGTTCTTTTAAAATTCCTCCAGAAGTCGTGGTGCCGCGTCAAAGTTATCCTCAGTGGCGGAGAGACTTCGGGTGAGTCGCTCTGCAGAGCCCTTCCCGCATCTCTTGAGGTAAGCAAACTTCTGGACTTTAGACAACTTACACACATGGTTTGACTGATGTTTACTGGAAAGGAAGCCTTCATTCGCTGACGATCTTACAGTGAGATTCGCGTTAATTTCCTCGGGTGTTCTCGTGGTCTTGCATAACAATTCGAAACATGTGTCAAGCTGAATCATTAAAGCTTCTCAAGCAGCCAATTGATTTTTCAGGTGGCGTTGAGTCAACCTCTGCTTTCCATGAGACATTCGAGGAGCTTGTCTGTTACAATAATATTCCATGGGATTCTGTGGAGATCGTCGGTCCTTTCCTCACATGTCAAGAGATTGTTTGGCGGACCACTCTGACCAAGTTTAAATTTTTGAAGGCCTTTTAAGTTGGAGTAAAGCTAAAAGGAACTATGGATGTATTCACCTTTTGAGGTGCTGTTAAGTTAGAGAGTGTGAACGGACCTAGAAAAGTAAACCCTGAAATCTACAAGCATTTCAATTTTGTCAAGTTTCTCTAAAATGGTTACTTGAAGTTTTTTGAAAAAATCATAATCTTTCTGTGACATTTTTTCTACAATGCCTGGCAAGAACGAAGCCGTTGTTTCACTATTGTTTCGCCAAAACCAGACAGATGAAAATTTGTAAAGTTGTAAATGCGTAAACAATTAACCCAGAAAAAGGGTAGCACTAATCTAATGAACCATATTCGTGCCCCAGATTATGACTAAGAATGTGCCGAATCATTAGTGACCAAATTTTTCGGGCCTGGGGCAGCTGCCACAAAAACTGCTATAAATATATATGGATTGTTAGACTGGAAATGTTCTAAATTACTTCCATTCTCATTTGTTGAAGACTATTTGTCACGAACACATTCGTCCCTTTCGCCAATTTGCAGAAATACGCTTACATCCAACCTAGAGGCCACGACAAAGGAAGTTCAAAAGAGAATATCTCTTTAATTACCCAACAAGATAGCGTTGGCTATTGACGGGTGGTCTAAGGGGTCAACCCTTTTCTGCGCTGTTTTCGCCTCTTACTCTTGTGCTGACAAATCATATCAAAAATCATTACTTGGGTTTTCGCCCCTTTTGAGTGAAAAAAACGTTCACTGCCCAACAATTTGATTATATAAAAGTTCTGCTTTCACCTAACTAAAATTTGGGCAACATTGTTGTAAGCATCACCGGCGATAATGCAGAGGTTAACGAGGCGACTGCCGATCACTGTGGGTTGCCACTTAGTTGCTGCGCCTCTCATAAATTCAATTGGGCGGTCAAAGGATATCTAGATCGTCATTCTCAGACTTTGGATGGTATTCATTCCCTTATGGTGCAACTAAATACACCAAAAATGGGAGACGATCTACGTGAGTTCACCAAGATTCAGCCGATACTTCGCAATAAAACTCGTTGGTTGAGTTCTTTGAACATGATCTCAAAATTTTTGGAGTTTGCGCCGCATTTGAAAACGTTAGCCAGTTACTCAAAAATTGTGGACAACATTCCGTGAACAGATTTCACGTTGTGGACAACAGTGAACAGTGAGCCAGAATTCAACAAATAATTAAGTCCGACATCCCATATTGTACACCGCCCCATGTTTGAAGCTGCCCTGCGAAAAATACTTCTTTCGGAGGAGCGGTCTCTGCTACCTGATGAGGCGGCAAGTGTTAAAACTTTATTAAAAAGCGAGCAGGCAACCCTGCCAACATCAGAAGAGGGAAATTCAAATTTGTCCGATTTTGCAAGTCAGTGCTTGAAAAAGCGATGAGAGGAAAAAACAGATAGTTCCAGTGCCTACTTGCAGCCTACGTTCATACTACCCACATCAGACAAGGTGGAATGGTTCTGTAGTAGTTCCGGGTATGCAATTATTTTTTGAACAAGCGTGGTAACATGCAAAAAAAATTGCGTTTAAAAAGCTTTAATCTAGCTTGATGCAGCGATTAGCCGAAAAACTAAGTGGAAAAAGACCAGAAAGCTAACCAGAATCGATAAACTACATAAAAACTAAAATAAGCTTCGTTCTCCTGAGGAGCCCTATACTTTGTATAAGGGGGTGCAGATCGCTGTGTGATGTTCAATTTATCGACAACTCATTAACGCTATTGTAGAGGAAGCACGGCTAAGATAAAATAACATTACGACGACGCATTTAATGCTAATGATGACTTCGTTGATAAAATGATACAGTTTGCTAATATATATATGCATTTTTGTAACGCTGGTATGGCCATATCCAGCTTGTGCACTTACCGTAACTAAACGGAAGGGATTATAATTTTTTTTAAAATCAAGTGAGATATTGAAGCCCTCATTTAAAAATACAAAAAAGCGCAATTCGCACTTTTGGGCTGCTGATATCAAACTTGGCAAAACGTACGGAGTTCAAGCTCAAAAATTTTCTTAAGCATTGCAATAAACGATATAGATTAAAAGGGGCAAAAACTCTGTCGTTTAACACGAGAAATAATACCTTGAAGATAGCGAGATATTGAAGCCCGCATTTGAAACATATAATAGATAAATAATAGATTAAGTGGTTTTTCGGAACGTTTTTACGCAGCAAATCAGTGATAAATTGAAATCCGACGTCGAAATGAGCAATTTTAGGTTAGTTAACAACTTCGTGGAGATTCCTTGACCGAAAAGGATATTGCCAACAATTTGATATAAACTATAGATACACTTGCTCCAGTCTATCGAAACAATATCTATACTTCTCCTATTTGGACTTCATTCATACCTCATACTGCTGTTTCACTGACGCCATGTTTCGCCTCCGTCGCGTTTCCGAACACCAATTTCGGTCTCTATCAGGGTTAAGAACGTGTTCAACTTTCCTAGCAAAAAAATTTGGTATAAATTCCGTCTGCGTTTGTGCTGAGGCAGCATGACTCTCCAAAGATTTCCTATTGTGACTTGCTCCACTGGTCGGTTGCCGCGTTTGAACTGAAAGACGGTTGAAGAGGGAATTGATGTCATCATTGGCGTTGTAGTGCAACTTACCAAAACGAGATTTATGTAATGCCTCAATCACACTCGCATCCATTTAAAACTCAACTCTACCTGAAAATAATAATAATAACAAAGGTTTTAGGAATATAATCCAAGGGTTCGCATAAAACTCAGTCATTGCAGTGTTCAAAGTTTAATTTTCAGTTATAAGTTGTAACATTCGCCCGGAAGTACATATCGACGGAAATTAAAGCTAGGTTCTAAAACGACTGGCTAGCGTCTAAACACAGCTCTACATGCTTTTCACCGTCTCTGCCAAAGCCAGTTCTTTTGGTGATCTTTCTAACATCGGGTCGACAAAAACGTTACTGCTTCTGGCTTCGGTCAAAACACTCAAATTAACTTAATTATATGCAAAAATAGTGAGCTCATGGCTGGGTCTCAGTATCACCAGACCACGAGGTCACTCCTAAAATCAGCGCTACTACTATTTATTAAATTATTATTGTTTTTGTTCAGTAGATAAAAATCATCATCTCCAGCGAAGATGGATCAACCCTTTTCACCCAACTCCTAGCTTCTCATCGTTGCAAAATGAATTCAGATGTTAAATAAAGTCAATTCAAGACATAACCGGGAATCTAAAAGTTTATATAAAAGAGTTTCAGTTAAAATCCCGAGACCCCTCCGGATTCCTGAATCCGGGGAAATAACGTCCTTATCTTCCTTCCGGAAGGCTGTCTTCTACCCTTCACCGTTGTTGTGAACGGCCTTGCAACAATTGTAGCGACACAATCGTTGCAACTCGAAGCGGTCTCTGCTAACACTACTATTCGTTGTTGCTCTTCAATCGCAATTCTCGTAGTTATCGCTATCGCAAGTATTGTTGTTCTGATTTTCTTCTGGTTTTTAGTCCTTCATTCTACTCGTTTTTCACCGTCTCGACCTAGCCAGTTGATTTTCTGGTCTGTTTAGGGCTAAAAAAAAGTTATTATTTTTAGGCCATCAATCAAACGACTTTTGATCAGCTTTCGTTTACATGCGAACACAACCACCTAGCTGAGTCTCGGATCCTCAGACTACGTGATTGCTATTAAAAACACGGCTCAAACACCCTATTTTGTTATGTTTTTGTTGACAGTTCTATATTAAATTTATTGGAGATGGATTGACCCTTTCCTCTTTCTAGCTACTCATATTCTAAAACATCAGATATTACCGGTGTCAATTCAAACGTTTATGGCATCAGAGTGGCTAAAAAGTTAGTTTACTACAGTTTTTCACCATATATCAGTCTCTGGGGGACCAAGCCTCCGCTTCCGTGTTCTCCTTCTAATAACGTCGTTACTACTCTCAATTCGTGGCACGGGAGCGTTCGGTTCAACACTCCTTCCCCACTGAAGCCTCCTTTCCCACTATCTTCCTCTGCTAAGGGTCTTATCGTGCGTGATCGTCACGATAAGAGGCTTCGCTTTTCTGTGTTGACGTGCGACTGTTTTCCACTATATTTGCTGTTGTTCTGATTTTTTCACCCTTTTTTTAGTCAAAATGGCCGTCTTTTTGTTTTTTTGAGAAATATTCGTTAGTCAATCGAAGTTTTGAACATTTAAACTTCTAGAAAATTTCTACTTTCCTTTTTAGCACTTTTTCGTCGTTCAGGCCTTTAATCGTTCTTTTGTGTTCTGCCGGAAAGTTGCGGTGTGCCAGTCTGGCAGAATGGCACATACTCCCCGGACAGTCCCCATCAATGTCCCTATTGATCGCATAACACTGGGTTATCGTCAAGTAGTGTTCCAGTTCTCTATAATCAACCTCACAAATCGCATTAGAAAATGAAATTTATCTACTCCACCTCAACCCACTACGTGTCACAAATGGAATCATAATACATCCTACTGCCTTTCAACATTTTCACAAAATTTGCACCATGATGAGTGTCCTAGATAAATTTTCTTTTCTGACTATTTACGTCATCTTGCCATAAAATTTCTTTTAGCTCTTGCTGATTAAAAAGTTGGGACGTGGCACGGCCACGCACCCGTTAAAGTTAACTTAACGTCACTCACCAAGTATAATCAGTTATTTATGCGGTTCTCCTCAATATTAAAACTAAGAAACTCTGTGGCTAGGAAAGTTATTGAGTTACTCACACTCTCCGAGCGAGCTTACCCAAACTTACCATGTCGTCACACAGTGAATATGTGTCTTACACAGTTTAAAAACTTCAGTCGTGTTTAATTAGGTAAATATACTCACCTATGCTCTCCATATAAATATATATATATAAATAGCACAACTAAATTTTTCTTTCAACAATTTCAACAATTGCAACAATTTGCAAAGTTTGGTCTGGCCAAACTGGATCAAAATAAAATGTTTAACAGTTTCAAAAATCAAATTAGTTTTAGCACACAAAGACAATCAAGTTTTTCTCCTTCTCTCTCCGTATTTCTTTTCCATCTCTGGCTTACATCTTCATCACTCCATTGCCTCTTGCTCTTCGCCTCCACTGTCTTCTAGGACTTTCTCCAACATGTCCATGGAGTTGCGGGCCGTATCCCAACTCTCTTGTTCTAACAGCCTCGGTTTACAACAGCGTAGCAAGTCCACATTCACCTTTTGTTACTGGTTCCTGCAAAAGCTGTTGCGAAGACACAGGCTCACATTCTGTTCTAGGTCAGCTCGTAAGACCTCTCTTTTCTCAGTTTCTGTCACACAAGGCGCTCCAGCGACTCGCTTCACCGCCGTGGTTACAGCGTTTCTGTGCGTTAAGAATGCTCTTTTATAGGCTCCCGGTCCTATATATTGCTGGAATTATTGATAAGCTTCTGTGTTCCTAGACATATGACGCTTCGCGCGTTCATACATCCATGATGTCATCACTGCACGGAGCCAAGGCATCAATCTTTGCTTTGATCATATCCTTTCGATGGCTTTGGGTATTCTCAGAACGTTGCAGGTGGTTCTGAAAAGGTGCAAGTTGCGGTTCATCTTGACGTTGCTTAGCTGCTCAGGTGTCGGCACGGCCGTCTCCTGCTCACTTGTGCCCGCGTTAGCTTCCAACCATCTCACTGCCAGCATGGCACTAACCACCATGATTGACACTTGTTGATTCTGATCTGGCAATCCCGTGGAGTACAACTCCTCCACGTCCTATACCAATACCATATTCCCGCGTTTGGGGTACCATAACGTCTGCGCTAGGCAGTGACAAGCATACTCCCCATGGGTCATCAGTATGTTCCTTCGGGTCCGATACCCTGAGGCTCCCAGCAACGGTTCCACTTTCATCATTATTCTATGCACATCGTCCTTTTCTTCTATGGTGGGGAATTCAGTGGGTAACGCCCCACTAGCTTTCTGCTTCTGGAACTCGCTCACATTACCCTCGTTCAATCTCATGAAATCTTCTCCCGCTACGTCCTGCAACTCGCCTTCTGATTTCTTCGGGATGGCCCGAATGATCTTCGCCAATAAATCATATGACCTCTCCGACATTCTGGCCAACCTCACGCACTTTGGCACAGAGAAGAGTTGGTCGACCAACACCTGCTGCGTCCTCGCATCCATCACCATCATGTGCGTAGGGTACCTACTATTGCAATATGGTGCAGAGCTTGAACCCACCAGATATTTTGAACCAGTAGGTCTATGATAGGCTTCACTATCCTTCAAATTCATTTCATTTTCCAGAGCCTCTCGCCAGCCTCCAACCTTTTGCTCTGTCTGTATTGCTCCAGGGAATACTTCCACACTAAGGGACGTCACTAGCCCATGGGCACGCTCTAAGCGTTCAAGTGATTCTATCGAGCTCGTCATGCTGCAAAATCCCAAGGCAGTGATCAAGTTCACTTCCGTCACTCCATGACAGTCCGCGATCAACTCCATCTTGCCGAATGGTCTTCATGCATTCTCCCAAAACAGGAGAGGGGATACGATCCACCACGAACCTTACAAAGCAAAGAGCATCTTTACACTTAGCCCAGGCTATCGCCGAATCACCTCTAGAAATCAATATTCGCAGGGCTTCCATCAATTCTGATTCATGTTCCCTTGATTTCGAGTCATTGTTGGCTTCATATTCCGCCTTCTTGATGCCCATCAAGCACCAAGCCAATCGTACTTGCGAGTCAGTTCTTGTACACGGATACGCCAGGTATGCTGCCACCGTCGCAGGCGCATGCATCGTCTCATCGAGGTATCTTTGGAGGGCCGCCCTCCAAGAAATTTCCAGTAGCTTTTCCAGCCCGTTTTCGTTTGCCTCCGAGGACATTACCGTGCCGTATTCTTTCCGATTCAAAATAGAATTCTCGGTCAGCTCTTTTAGATACTCTTGCATGGCTTGCGTCTCATTCCAAGCCATCAGGTGCCCTCTCGCGGAATTCCTCACCTTTAACATCTCCACATAATTCCCTGCCGGATCTCCCGTGTGGACTGATTCTGGCAAATTGATTCGACTATACTCGACCACGTCGAGTTGTCCCTCCAACTTCACCCGAGCCATGTTGGTTTGCGAGGGCTTGTGATCATCAAGTCCTCCAGATCCGCGTTGGCTGATGACCTCCATTTCTAGTATCCGCTAGAGTCCGTGCATTCTTCTTCGATTTCGTGGCTGTTGTGATCAAACCTGCCAATAGCATAGGGGGTATCAGGTTCTCTTTTTCTCCCCATGTCCTTGCCCGCTCTCGCCTGAACGAGCTGCGCTTGCCAATGAGGCCACCACTGTGCTGGCTTTTGACTTCACCACTTTCTGGTTCACGGCTCAGCTTTCTGTCTTTCCTTTCAGCCGCTTCAGCCCTTTTTTGGCTCGTCTGACGGGTAATTTCCTCGTGACCTGCTGATCATCGGCACTGTCCTCTGTAACTGACTCGGTCAGAACATCAGACTCTATGGAGTTCATTATTTTCTCTAGAACCTCGCGCATAATGGGTTGGTTTAATCCCACCTTCAATAGGGACTGCGTCCCGTATCTTCGTATCACGTCCCGTTACCTCTCCATGAAGGTCACTCTGTTCCAGGTTACTCCTGTCTTACGTTCAAGTTCGCTCTGGTATCTCTCCCATTCCTCTTCCGGTAGCGTACTCAGGAACGATAACCTCATAGTCTC